CGTGGACCTCCTCCCTCCCAGGCGAGTCGGGGCCAAACGACGCCCTCAGACCCTGCCTCTTCCTCCGGCGAAGTCTGAAAGCGAGGGAGCATAATTTCCGGACCAAAAGCCTTGAAAAATGTCTGCCAGTTCTGATTAGTGCTACCGAAGCTGCTCTGTTCTTTGCAAGCAGGAGAGAAGGGCATGCTTTTTTAACGCGCCTTCAGTTCCTGAGCTGTGGTGTGGAACGGTCCTCGTTGCACCATCCACAGCATCGCGGTGCTCCACGGCCATGAGCTGAGAGGCCCAGCCGAGGTATTTATTGTCTGCAAGTAGCAGCCATACCTGTCAGTTCCTGAGCTTCCCAGTGCTTAAAATCTCCCTCGGATGCCAGCAGATTTTCTTCTGCTCGTGCTCCTGGGTGTGGATCCCGCTCTTGGCAAAGACATTGCTGCCACGAAGGGTGAGGAAAGCAAGAGGCAACACGGACCGGTGGCACGGGGGACTCTGCGGAGTCCAGGTGGCACAAGTCTGGGCAAAAGCTGCATGGAGACACAGGCTTTGGCTGTGCCAAGTTATTGTCTTATGTTCAAAGCAGCAGAATGCATATAAATGGGAAGCACAGACTTGCAGCAGAGTCTTCCTGACAGATGCACAGCGCACACTCCTAAGCCAGCATCTGATGAGTTTTTCGGGTATGAGGCGGACTTCCCAGACACTTGTCTCCAGTAGGTGCAGGGGACTAAGAGCATTGGTTTTGTGCTTTTGATTTCTAGGTAAATGTCATCAGCCCTGTCGAAATGGAGGCAAATGTACGGGTAAGAATAAATGCAAGTGCTCCAAAGGCTACCAGGGAGACCTGTGTTCAAAGCGTAAGTACCAAAGCCACTCCACCAGTCCTTGTTGTAGGAGCATCAAGCTGGCTGTACAGTATCTTTTTATACAATGTCAGCACTAATTGCTTGTTGCCAAAGTATTTCAGGTTAATTTACTTCCTGGACATACAGCGTACACCAGACTTAAGGGAATTATGAAACCAGAAATGTTTTTTACAAAAGCATCCCCACAGTTTCTTCTGTACTCAGAGTTTTTATAAAACAGTGATGCGCCAGCTTAGTAATAGCAGTTTAGTAATAGAGAAATGCTTAATAAAACGTCAATACATTGCACCATTAGAATCCAACGGGAGCACTTTGTGAGAGGGATCCTGGGGGCTGCCCTCCTCTCCCTCTGGTGCTGGTGTACACTCTGCTGTTCCATCTGCTTCTCTCTGCCAGAGACTGAGACAGACCTTGCAGGGGAATGAGGGGTGAAATATTCTGTAGAATTATAGACTTATAGAATTATTAAGGTTGGAAAAGACCTTTAAACACCCACCCCCCACCCCCGCCATTCCCACTAAACCATATCCTGAAATGCCACGTCTACATGTTTTTTGAACACTTTCCGAGATGGTGACTCCACCACCTCCCTGGGCAGCCTGTTCCAATGTTTGACCAGTCTTCCAGTAAAGAAATTTTTCCTAATATCCAGTCTAAACCTCCCCTGGTGCAATTTGAGGCCATTTCCTCTTGTCCTATTGCTGGTTACTTGGGAGAAGAGACGAACCCCCTCGTTGCCACCACCCCCTTTCAGGAAGTTGTAGAGAGCGATAAGGTCTCCCCTCAGCCTCCTCTTCTCCAGACTGAACAAGCCCAGTTCCCTCAGCCGCTCCTCGTAAGACTTGTTCTCCAGACCCCTCACCAGCTTCGTTGCCCTTCTCATTTCGGGGCTCTGCACACACTCAGTGCAAAGCCACAGATTTACTGTCAGAGCCCCAGCCTGTGCCAGGACCAACCCATCATGAAAAGGGAAAGCAAAGATGCAACTCTTGTCTCTGGATGAAATGCCAAGAGGTCAGGTGTATGTGTTCGCTTTCTTACAGCTGTCTGTGAGCCCGGCTGTGGCCTGTACGGCACCTGCGCTGAGCCCAACAAGTGCCAGTGCAAAGAAGGCTGGCATGGGAGACACTGCAATAAAAGTAAGTGAGAAACAAGCCCCGAGAGTCTGTATTGGGGGTCTTACACGTCCGATGCCATCCAGAAATGACTGCTTCAAGAGCCTTTCCCGCCTTGTTAATGATACCGCGCTCCATTCTTTCTAATCTTTAATCCAAGCAATAAACCGAAGATTTTCAATACTCCATAATTTTAACTACTTAGAGAACCCATCAGAATAATTTTAAAGTGTTTTACCAAGATCACCCTTGTATTAGAAGTTCCAGAATCTGTTATCAACCAGATATCTAGATGACCTCATGTGTCTTCCACACATGGTATGGAAGGGATCTAAAGTCCTTCAGTACTCCTTAATAATGACAGCTGGCTTTAAAATGTTGGGTAGGCGTTTGTAGAAATAAAACTCTGTCATGTTTTGAAGCTGATTAAAACTTAGAAAAAATGAGATGTCCTTTAGAAACTTCGGGGAAAACTTGAAGAGTTATGCAAGACCTGTTGGAGCAGGTCCAGAGGAGGGCCCCAAAAATGATCAGAGGGATGGAACACCTCTCCCATGAAGAAAGGTTGAGAGAGTTGGGGTTGTTCTATGATCTATGCTCACTGACTTCAGAGTTTTCTCCTCCTCTTCCCCACCCATCCTCCACAGACCACACCATATTGTCCCAAAGCCAAGTTACAGTCCTTAAAATGAATTTCTGTTGTGCTTATTGACACATTTGACACCCAGTGAGGCAACTGATTATTTCACTGGATTTAAAATAGCACTATAAACTTATTTGAAAGGCAATTGGATATATCCAGTAAGAACTTACAGTTTAATTTTATATTTCATGTGCAATGCTGCTGTAACAGCAGGTCTTCAAGAGACATTCTGTACATTCTCCCATGAGAAGTTAATGTTCATCTTAAACACTGCTAGCTAATGATTCGCATTTAATGTTTTAAGTGTCAATAACAATAAAAAATTGAAAAAATTTACAGCTATAAACCCCATCAATTATCCGTAAGAAATATGAGTTTTACATTGCAGCATCAACTGAATTATCATTTTTATTAAATGCTGTTGATGCCTGTGATTTGTATTACATTAAAATGTATTAGAATAAATATAGCTGTAGTAGTATTATCTAACTAAAATGGATTATGCTGTGAAAATTAGGTTTGGGGAGTCCACTTCGCTGTGCTAGCTAGTGGACCTGTATTTAAGTATTTATGTCATTCCCTGAAGAAGAAATACCATTTCTATACCATTTTTAACCATATAAGTAATGGTTAAAAAAATTGGGTATCGATATTAACTTCAATTCTTAAGTTTGATATGAACTTTTTCTTCTTGTAATACTCTTCTTATAAAGAACTGAGATAGCAAGTGAAAAAAATGTGTACTATGAACATCCCCAAAGAAGTAACTACCTGCACAACAAAATCAAAACTCTTAACTGCCGTCTTATGAGGAGTCAATAGTCACACTTTATTGTCAGCTCCGAGGTTTTCCATCCTTAATTACTTGAAGTTTGGGTACAGTCCTGCTGTGTTTAACATTGCAAAAGTCTCGTTGTATTCAGCAACAAAACTGAGACTAGGCCATTTGGGTAAAATTCACCCCCACTTTAAGTGTCCATGTAGGGCTTAAACTGCACATACAAGTCTGCGTGCACGGCAATTCACTCATTTCAACTAAACCCAAACATCTCCTGATCTTGGGAGGAGATTTATAGTTAATTTGAGAGACTTGCTTCATACTCCATCAAATGAATGGCTCCGTGGTAAAGCTGTTTTCTTAAAAAGAAGTGGTTAAAAAAATCGAACATGGGACTCCCGTTTTCAAAGTCATTTCCATGAGCTTTAAGTAATGAGGTGGGTAAATTAAGCTATAAATAATTGCAACATAATACTTTGGATTCCATTTTTATTGTTCGTTTTCATTTTCGGCAACAAAGCAGCTCTGCTAAGCCTGTTTCGTGCTGCTTTTTTTCTCCCCCCTAGGTGTTTATTGTCGCTGCTGTTCTTTCTCTTTGCATGCAGCCGTAAACCAAAGCCAAGCTCAGGCAGCCGGCACAGATTCTCCCCGGGGGGACGCTTACGCCCCTCTTTAGAGCCCGTCGCTGGCAGGTCGGCGTGGCTCTCGCCCCCCCGCCGTGGGCTGTGCAGGCGCGGAGCCAGGGCTGAGTGACAGCCTGGAGCTGCCGGTGGTCCCCTGGGCTCCTTGCGAGGCGAGGGCATCTTTCCGCCCGGCGGCACCTCGTCCATCCCGGGGCGCAGAGCGAGGGGCGAGCGCTTGCGTAAGGCGTGGCAAAACCCTTTGTTCAAACCGGGGCGGGGGGGGGAACGGTTTCCACTTGAAATATTAGCGGTGGATCGCGAGCCCACTTCTGTGGTTTCTTTTCTCTTGAACTGGATCGTTTTCCAGGGTACGGAGCCAGCGGTCTGAGCGCCCTGAGGCCAGCAGGCAGCAAGCACAGGCAGCACACGCCTTCGCCAAAAAGGGCCGAGGAGAGGCAGGTTCCACCCGAATCCAATTATATCTGGTGAACTCCAGCATCTGAAACGGTTCATGTTACGCAAAGTTCATAGCCTTCATTAACCTCTCATGGATTGAATGTTAAAACGCTGTTCATTACAGTTAAGATTACTGGCTGGCATTTTATTAGCTTCATTATAAACCACTGAGCTGATATTTACTATTCCTTTTAAGTTTTATAAATACTTCTATAGCATGATTATATAGGCTGCTTATTTCAGTGCTTTGGATGGTGTTTTGTACTATACTTCAGTTACGTTTAAACTTCCTTTTCTTACTATATAGCTGCAAAAAAACCTAAATAACAATATTCAAGCAGAAAACCTCGTAGACGCTAACTCGAATCATTTCAATGACTACAGATTTAATTTGCCTAAGACAAAAGAAAGGTGCATTTTACATTTTTGCTATTGGGTATTTAGACTTTCCCCTAAAAAAAAAAAAATAAAATAAGTTGCTTAATTTAAAAACCGAACAACTCAATTCAATGTTATTTTTGACCTTACAGTTTTGCAAAGTACCGTGTATTAATAATACACCGCATTTTAACCAATATAATATATCGTAAACAAAGTAGAACTCTAATGTATGAGCTTTCTGCATCGGCTTGAAGCAATATAATATATTGTAAACAAAACAGCTCTTATGTAATAAACTTTTTTTACTGACGGTTATGTATAAAATAAAGATGCTGCTTTAGTTTTTCGAGTACTGCTCTGTGTGGCCTGCTGCGGTCTTCATCAGCGCTGGGTTGGGATGATGGCTTTTCTAGAGCACCCTCATAAAATGGTGGCACGGTGAGGTTGGTTTCCCTGTCTTTGCCTTTAGCCCCACAGCTCTTAAAAATATTTCGGAAGAGCACCTTCTTCTCGTGCCTTTGCAAAGGCGGGGGTAGCACCGAAGGACAAGGGTTTCTCTCCCTGTGTTTGCCCTCCACCACGTCCTCCTTTCCCCCCCTGCAGTGCTAGCCACGCCACGCCGCTGTGCTCTGTCGGTGGCACCTCTGGTAGCCGGGATCTCCTCCTCAGGGCCTGTGCCCAAGCAGGTAGCAGCCCAGCGCTGGCCGTGTTGCCTCTTCGAGGGGGATGCTCCCGTGTCATGTTGTGCTCAGCCCGTGCAAGGTTTGGGTGCTGCCTCTGCGGCTGTCAAGGGCCACGCACTTCGTAATGTGCTGAGGCTGGGAAGCAGTGGAAGGGGTTTCTGTCTGCGCCGAAGAGCGACATCCACTCCAACAAATGACTTACTGACCCGTGCTCTGCTGCAGTTCTGGGAACCTTATGGTCTGGGAGACAGATGAAAAAATAAATAAATAACACATAATTTGGGGCGTCAAATTAGCCTTAATGAGTGAGAGGTTTTGAGTTACAAAGGAAGAAGTCTAGTTTATCAACCTGACCTTGCTGGTCTTACTTAGTCAACGGACCCGCAGGCCAAGTAAAAAGACTTGCTTAGGCCAGAGGGAGGGATGACAGCTCTCTAAGGGTCCGTTTTTACGTTGTCCTTCGTGTGGTGGGACTGTAGATGCTGCCCAGCAAGGCTGATCGACAGGAGACCAACCCCCCCGTCGCCATGCATGGCTGCAGCCCTCCAGGCCCGGCGCGGGGAGAAAGGTGGCCGGGGAAAGAGGGGCAGAGCCAGACCGACCCCCCGTTGCACCCCAGCTGATAACGAGAAACAGCCCAAACAAGGTGGTTTGGCCGCTGGCCTCATATCCTTCCCTGGGATGGCAGCAAACCAGCTCTGGTTTGCTTTCTCAGAGTGTGTAGCAGCTATGGCTGGTGGGCTCCAAAGCGGTGGTCCCCCAGCCCTTGGTCTCACGCACCCCCAGCACCTCCCCAACCTCCTAGAGGACCGGGGGGAGCCTGGGGCATGGGGACCTCGGGTGGCAACGCAGGGTAGGCTACGTGACCCGCAGCCAGGTTGCCTCTCTGCGTGGAAATGGAAACTTTTTTTGAGGTTTTCCTTAAAAGCAATGAAAGAAGGAGATTAATATTAGCCTGAAGTTAAATGTGCAAGTAAGTGCTCTGCATCTCCAGGGATGCCCCAGGAGCTGTTCATAAGCATGGATGTCACATTTGCCATATTTTTGCTCTTTCTGCAACAAAGATTGGCTGAAGCCATTGATCACACGCCACAGTAAAAAACACTGAAATTTCTTACTTGAAATTCCTCAGATATTTTGGCTGAACTTTTTCCTCTCCTGTCAATTTCTTAGGAAGTGCTTCCTTAAAAATAACAAGCGTATTCTTTTATACGGAGTAACTTATTTTGCTACTAAATGCTGCTGCTTGGTTTTCTGAGTTTCACCACTAACTTTGGAAAAGATCATTAATCATAAGTAGAATATAGTCATAAAGGGTAGGAAAGGAAAAAAATATTCCTCAAAGTGCACACTGTAACACAAGACTTTTTCTTAAATAACATCGACTTTCTACACGCAAATTTTCCATCACTTTGCCTTTAATACCAGCATGAGCACAAAGTTTCCTGTGGCAGGCAGTCCCCCACGTCAGAGAAGTTTTAAGTCAAGGTCTGTGATATCTGACAATACTAAAAGAAGACATTAATGCCTCAGAAAAAGTTCAGTAGGAAGTTGAAAATAATTTTGCCATTAAAAAATAAACTACAGAATTTATCACACCCTTTCACTGGATGTGTGATACTGTTATATTGTTTGGGCGCATAGATCGATTGTTATATCGATTGGGCGTATGTACGGGAAAAGCACATGTATGCGCCATAGATGAAAATCAGTTAAAGAAAAAGATCAAGAAAAGTCAAAACACAAATCTATTACAATAGGTCAGACAGAAACTGCCTTTGTAACAACACTTGGAAAGTTTGCAGTTAGCCAGAGAGAGATGCCAAACGTTGCACTGGTGAGCAGCAGCTATGAGATAACCAAAACTGGTAAAAGCATATAAAATGTTAAATCGCTATAGCTCTCGCCCAAAAATCCCAATTTAAGCAACTGACAAAATTTTAGCTTGATAAAGTGCTTCTAATAGTGCTTGATAATTTGGATATCTAATATTAGCATCCTGCTAAGTCCAGATGTGCACAACAGTTCAAAGGACAAATACATAAGGCACAAAAAGAGAGACAGAAGCCCTGAGGGCAAACTGCCTTTTTTGCAGCGCTGCCATTAGCGAACCGGTGCACATGGGGTTGTTTTTTTTTGTTGGTAATTTACAGTTTAGGTTAGTATCCCCTTAACTCCGGCTATGCCGCTTGATTTAAAATCTGTCACTTTTAATGCCTCTTCACTTGACTTTTTGAGAACTGGAGAGAATTTGGGCCTCTTCTTGTTTGCGCTATGCATGAATTAGCAGCATAAGTTCATTGCCACCTGCGAAGCGAGCTCT